CAACAGAAATTAATTTAGAAAGGCTAATGGTTAGGCTATACTTTTGCTTTTTAAAATTCAATGGTGAATAGAGTCAGCGGTCCTTGGCAAAGGAGTGCTATGCTGGCTCTGGCAGGATCTAGTTGAATGTTTATAAAACCAGAAGCACAGCCTAGGGAAACTAAAATCAAGCTGCCAAAAGGAGGTTGCAAATTGATTTGTCCAACTGTAGATCACAAAACATGTCCTGCCCCAGCTCCACGCCTGTCTTCCTGTGAGTTCCTGTCAGGAAACGATGTGCTGTCACTGAGGCGGACTCTATACTTCACAAGGGCAGGCACTTAAGCATCTAAGGGTGTATGACAATGACAAGCTACTGCTGAAGCCTGTCCTCCAGGAAAACCATCCTCCACCCCTTCCCCAAACTCCTCACAAAACCCTACAACCAGGAAAAAACAACTTCAGAAAGTAGGGTGGGGCTTGCTTGGAATTAGGTTTCCCCAGTTTCAGTGAAGGTAGATATCTAGATAATTTATCCCAAACAACTGCCTTCACTCAAATCATTATGTATCTGTTTCAGTTTGCACCTTTCCCTTTGGTTGTGCAAAGATATGCCCAAGGGTCAGATCTGAGCTCAGTCTCCTAGATAACAGATTATCAGTAAATCAGAAAGGCCACAAGTCCCATGTTCTGTAACCTACAAATTAGTTAATTCATCCTACAAATAATTATGCAATGTCCTCTATGGGCTAGGCACTGTTCTAGGCCCAGAGGATACAGCAGTGAACAAAACAGAAGAAAAAAAAAAAAATCCCTGCTCTCAGAGTTTTTAAGTTCTATCAGAGAAAAATTCATGAATACAAATTGGGAAGAGAATGTCTAATTATCCTAAAATGAAGACAAGCTGCCAGTCACTTGGAACATATATACACTATTCTCCAACATTAAGAAAATCAGGGAAAAGAGAGTTAACATTTACTGAGTGCTTGCTATGTACCAGGCTCTTAGTAAGGTGAGGTCAGATGCTTTACTCTTTCCTTTTAATCCTCTCAACAACTCTATTACTCCATTCGTACAGATGACAAAACAGCGGTCTAGAAGTTAGAATAACTTGCTCAAGCTCATCCCACTTTTCAGTAGTATAGCTGAGACCTGTGCCCTCCAGTTGGCCTTGTCTCTTTATTAGATGGTCACTTACACTCAGCCTTGCTCTTGGATGGTGAGTCATCCCCTCAGCTTTGCCCACCTGGATTCTACTCATACTTCAAAGTTCAGTTGAAAGCATGCGCATCTTCAGGAAATTTCCTGACTCTTCACTATTACTGTGATCCTTCCTCTAAATTTTAAATTAGGTACACATATATGTAAAATAGGAGTTCTGGTAGCATAGTGCCTAAGGCACTTGACTGCTAACCAGAAGGCTGGTGGTTCAAATCCACCAGCCACTCCTCGGAAGGAAGGTTGGGCAATCTACTTGTAGTGATACTGTCTCGGAAACCCAAGGAGGGGTCGCTATGAGTCAGGTATGACTCGATGGCACATAACAACAACAACCACCTATGTAAAATGTCAAGGTGCCCTGGTGGAAGTAACCAATGAGTTGGCGGTTCGAACCCACCCAGCAGCTCCATGACAAAAAGACCTGGTGATCTGCTTCTGTAAAGATTATAGCCAAGAAAACCCTATGTGGCAGTTCTATTCTGTCATTTGAGTAGAAATAGACTCAGTGGCACCAAAACCAACAATATAAAATGTCAGGGAGTCCCTGAGTGTGCAAATAGATAGGTCAGCTTCTAACTAAAAGGTTAGGGGTTTGAGTCCACTCGAAGGTGCCTTAGAAGAAAGGCCTGGCAATCTACTTCCTATGGGTCATAGCTCTACTTTGACACATATGGGGTCCCCATGAGTCAGAGCTGACTCAATAGCAACTGGTTTGGTTTTTTGGTTTACAAAAGGTCAGACCTAACACCAGTGGCTGACACAGGGTGGGCACTCAAACATTGCTTTGTTCCTACTTCCTTCTTCACTGTATTTATGGATAGCAGTGTGAAATTTGTCACTTGATTATATATTGTCTTATTAGTTTTATTGTTGTATGTGCATTGGTCTTGTTTCCTAACCAGATTAGCAGCTTTTGAAGAACAGGAACAGTGTTTTGTATTTATACACAATATATCACTGTTTAATAGCATTGTTCTTAAACTTGAGTGTGCATCAGAGTTACTTTGTCTTGTTAAAACAGTTTGCTGGGTCCCACGCCCCAGAGTTTCTGATTTAGCAGGTCTGGGGTGGGTCTGAGAATCTGCATTTCTAACAAGTTCCCGAGTGATGCTGCTGCTGCTGCTTCAGGAACCACACTTTGAGAAACATTGGCTTGGCTGAACGTAACCCAGGGCTTAAGAATATGTAGGCTGAGTTTGAGTCCCATCTCTGCCACTCAGTAGGTATATGACCGTGAGTGAGTTCATTAGCCTATATGAGCCTCTGTTTCCACATCTGTAAAAATGGGGATAATAATAGTATGCGCCTCAGGGTTGTTGTGAGGATTAAATGTAACGAATGTAATATGCATAGTACTGTTCTTGACACATGGAAAACATTCAATAAGTGCTACCCATTATCCCTGGAAAGGCTGGCACATATCAAGTATTAAATATGCACTGGGTCAAGCCTGAGGATTCCCTCTAAGGCTGATAAAAAATTTCTTTTGAATTTGTTAAGTAGTAAGAGTGAAGCATGACATCTATAATTAACAGCTTTTGAAATTAACACCATTAAAAAGCAGAAGAGCTCTGGTGGCATAGAGATTAAGCATTCACCTGCTAACCAAAAGGTCCACAGTTCATACCCACCAGCCGCTCTGTGGGAGAGATGAGGCAGTTTGCTTCTGTAAAGATTTACAGCCTTGGAAACCCTAATGGGGCAGTTCTACTCTGTCCTATAGGGTCGCTATGAGTGAGAATCGACTTGATGACAGTGGGTTTTTAAAAAGCACAATCTAAAGGGTCTTTAAGGGGCACTGGTGGCACAACGGTTAAGGCCTCAGCACCTAACTTTTGGTTGAAAGGTTGATGGTTTGAACCCACCAGACTTCTCCATGGAAGAAAGGTGAGGCAGTCTGTTTCTGTAAAGATTGATAGCCTTGGAAACCCAATGGGGGTTGCTCTGAGTTGGAATTGACTTGATAGCAGTGAGTTGGTTTTAGTTTGGAATCTTTACAGAAGTAGACCGCCACATCTTTCTCTGACAGAGCAGCTTGTGGCTTTGCACTGCCAACTTTCAGGTTAACAGTCAAGTGCTTAACCCCTGTGCCACCTGGGCTCCTCTGTAACCCTACAAAAGCTCCTCTCCAAGCCTACAAAACCATATGGGACAGTTCTACTCTGTTATGTTGGGTCACTGTGAGTCAAAATAGCCTAGTATGTTGTATAGTACATGAGGTTGCTGTGAGTCAGAAATGACTCAATGGCATCTAACAACAACATAGTATGTTGGATGAAAATACCTAGGCTTACAAAAGCTTTGTGTATTTTTTAAATTTAGGGGCTGTCCATAGGGTACCTCCTTCACAGTTTCTACTACTTAAGGATGCTGAAGATGACAACTTGGCCTCCAAAGAGACTGGAGTTACTGGAGTCACCCAGGCATCTGGGCTAATGGCCTTGGCAGATACAAATGGAGGCCATCACTCAATAATTAGTGGCAGTCATGGGAAGACAGCCTCCCCAGAGCAGATAGGACAACCGTCCTCCTCCAACCTAATTTCAAAGTCCCCAGGTCCCTGCTGCTCTTTCTCTGATCTAACACACCCCCACCTCCCCTTCCCCAAAGCAACAGATGTATTTTCCCTCAGAGCCTACCTGGGAAGTTATATTGGCTAAAATTCTCTGAGGGAGCTCTGGTAGTGTAGTGCCTAAGGCACTTGACTGCTAACCAGAAGGCTGGCAGTTTACATCTACCAGTCACTCCTGGGAAGGAAGGCTGGGCAATCTACTTCTGTAGTGATACCGCCTGGGAAACCCAAGGAGGGGTCACTATAAGTTGGGTCCGACTCGATGGCACATAACAACAAGAACAACAACATTCTCTGAAAGAAAGCCCAAGGTGGAAGGTGCAGAAAGACAATTTCCAGATCTTGTCTCAGTCCTCCTGGGCCCAGGACCAGGTATCCAGGGGTCTGCAATGGTCTAACCCTAATTTGCTCCCAATAATACCCCAGACATGAGTCATAATCTTATTTCTCTAGCTCTATTTCTCTGTGAGCTACTAATCCTGGGAATGCTGTCAGTTCAATAAAACCCTGCAAAGTTGAATGAGATCATCTCCGATCTCATTATTAGTATTTAACAGAAGCTGCAGGCTTCGGGTTGTGGGAGAGATGCTGCTACCCCTTTGGCAGTCTCTTTCTTCCCCACTCCCTCTCATCCAGCTTTACCCTCCCCTAATGCTCAGAAATAGGATCAGTGGTACCCCCATCCCATTTTCACTCCTACTCTAATTTCCTAGACAAACCATCACAGCCAGGTGGTGTCTTCACACACTCTGGATGGGGCACCACGCCCGCGAGCTCCAGGGCAAGGGTTTTCTCCCCTATGCCCGTGGCCAGGCCCGGTTTCAGCGCTAAGGCAGGGCAAGAAGGGGGTGTGTGTGCATGGGAGGCTGGAGGGGAGCGGGGCTGCCGGAGACCCAACCCCTCACGAGGTGAGGCGAAGCTGGTGTCCCCGCACCGAGAGTCACCAGATGGGAGATAAAAAGCAGGGCAGGGGTTCCTCACAGTGAAGAGCCTCACGGTGTCTCTCCTCTTTTCACCATTTCTCCTTGCTCAATCTTTCTCTCCCTTCATCCCACCACTCCCTCTTTGTCTGCCTTTCTCTTGCCTCCGCCTTTTTGAACACCCCAGCCTTCTCCCTGGAGCCCAGCTTGGACGCCGCACCGCAGCGGTCAGCTCCCGGGGGATGCCGGCCCTGCGCTCTCCTACACTACCCCCGTCCCTCCCTTCCCCTCCCGGCTCCAGGTCTCACCCAGAAGAGCAGATTGAAGCCGAGCAGCAGGTACTTGATGCACCGCAGGCCCCCGCGGAAGCGCCCCATGCTGCGGCCCCGGCGGCGGGATCCCGAGTCCCCAGGCCCGCGCTCCGAGAGCCTGGAGCGGCGGGAGCCGGCGGGCTGGCCGGGGGCGGGGCCTGCGGGGGGCGGGCAGGGGCCAGGGGCGGGGCGCGGTCCAAGCAGGCTGAGGGGCTCGCGGTGGGTGGGGGCGCCGCGGGGTGGTGATCCTGGGGCCAGGAGGAGCACGTTCCGTTTTTTCCTGAAACGTGGGACCACCTCCTTTGCTCCAGATGCTGGGCCCCGCGCCCCACAGGCGCACCAGGCTCCCGGTGGTTATCCAAGCATCTATTCAGAACCCTGGACCCATGTAATCAGCGCCCAGTCCAGAGACCCTTGGAGATGGTGGAAGGATAAGGACGCAGCCTCAGTGACTGTGGAAACCGAGGCAGATAGTCTCCGGTCGAAGAAATAAGTAGGAGCCAAGGCCATCCGGAACCTGGCAGGACCTGTCTTGGAGTACCCACTCGCGCGTCCAGGACTGCAGCCCCGCGGGGTCCTTCAGCGCGGATCGAGCGCACAGGCTGCGGAGGTTGCTTGGAGGGGATCCTCCCTCCGGTTCCTCGGAGGACTCTTACCTTAATAGGCAAGAACTAGGAGAAGGTGCCGGATGAGGCTGTCCTGTGCTATTAACAGCTGCCCCCTGTCCAGGCTAGTGGCGGGGAGGGGCAGTCGGAATCCCCGGGTCCTGCTGGCTTCAACAGATGGGATGGTTTGCAAAGAAATCTAAGCCTTAATTGTGTTGTGGAGATGGCAGAAAGGGTGAAATTTTAGTTTTGCTCTGTTTCATTAAGTTAGGCGGCTGACTGGGAATGTAAGCTCCCACTCTTGTTGACTAAGCGTCTACAATATTACGGTTTGTGGCGCCAGACGGTATGGGGGAGACAATATAGTGTAAAACTGAGAGACTTATGCATTAATTCACAAAAGTTTAGTTGCGTATTATAAGCCAGGCATAGAAGCAGACCCTGGGGATTCAACAATGAGGAGAAATCCAGGCCTGGTCCTGGACGTTTTGCCTTTTCTGGGGCTGAAGGCAGACTGTAAACATAACTATAGCGAGGTGAGAGGTTAGGCAGGGGTTGGGCAGGTAGGGCCTGGCCTCACTGTGTTTGCCAGGGAAGGCTAAGCTGAGGAGCGTGGTCTTGAATGAATCTGAGGTAAGAAAAAGCAGTCCAGGCAGAGGAGGCAGCAAGTGCTGTAGCACAGGGCTGAAGAGAGCAAGACCTGCTGGGGGAACTGTCTCAACTGTAGTTAGCCCAAATGGAATAGACAACCCTCCCTATGAAGGCAGAGGGTCAAGTGAGTGGGAAAGATGCCAGGCCAACTCACAGCTTTCAGTCAGCTGACCAAAGAGCAAAACTATCCTTGCACTTCAGTTTCACATCTGCAACATAGAGACAACAGTATCTATCTCATAGAATCATCACGGAGATTGTTGCTGTTGTGTGCCATCAAGCTGATTGCAATTGATAGCAACCCTGTGTGACAGACTAGAACTGCCCATAAGGTTTCCTAGATTGAAATCTTTATGGGAAGCAGATCACCAAGTCTTTTCTCCTGAGGTGGCTGGTGGGTTTGAACTTCTAAACTTTTAGTTAGCAGCTGAGCATTAAACCATTTGTAAAGTACAGGCAGTCCCCAGGTTATGAACATCCGATGTGCAGACATTATACTTGCTGTCTAATATTATGTAAATTTGCCCTCACTTTAGAACTGTTGAACCAACTCCTAACCCATCGGTAGAGTCATTTCTCACCTGTGACCTTCTAAGACAGAGAAAAACTGCCTTAGGATTTCCTAAACTATAATCTTTACAGAAGCAGACTGTCACATCTTTCTCCCATGGAGTGGCTGGTGGGTTTGAACCGTTGACCTTTTGGTTAGCTGCCAAGCGCTTTAACCACTGTGTCACCAGGGCACCTATGAACCAACTTTTACTTGCATGCAACAAATTCTTCATTACAATCAGCTTTGCATGCTGCGTGTGCTGCTTTTAAATAATTGAAAAGCTTTCCAGCCTTTTCTTTCAGTAATGTAGGTCCAAATAAGAACTCTATGTACCTGTTCTGACTTACCTACAAATTCAGCTGAAAGACACACTTAGGAATGGATCTTGTTTGTAATCCAGGGACTGCCTGTGCCTAGAACAGTACCTAGGACAGAGTAAACAGTATATAAGTTAGGTATTATTGTGATCTGCCAGTCAACCATTGGGTTTCTACCATGCATAGCATGCACAGATTTGTCTATTTCTTTGGGCAATTGCTGAATATCCATTTATTTGTAATCATTTTTATAAAGGAAGACAGAAAAATGAAAGTGCTGATACTGGTACTAAGCATAACTCTCAAATGGTAAAATCGAGACAAAGGTGGAAATCATTAGGAATGCAACTGAGGCAAATCTTTACCTTCAATCAAACACTCATTGTCCCATCTTTGTCATCTCTGTTCTATTATGTAGGAAAAGAACTAAACTAAAGCATAGTTTCTGGCACACAGTAGGCATTCAATATATCTCAACAGATTGAACAACAATGATATTGTACTTTAAATATATTGTTGAATATTATGTCTTTAAAACAAAATGTATTTAGAGATAATATATTCTATACTTTGGGAACAGAACCCCTGTTAAAACATATAAATCTATTGTTCTTTCATATAACAGTTTTAGAATTTCAGCGCACATAAATTAGAGACAGATGGTTGCCTGCCCAGCATAACAGTTTTAGATTTCGTTTGAATATAGCCTCCCTTCCTGCCTCCACCCTGCCTTCTTCACAAAATTTTGTGTCTTATGGGAAGCTGATCTGTGATAGGACTGGGCTTAATTGGTTTAAGGTAATCATATTTCTCTTGTAATTAGGAAACGAACTGATGGGTGACTGTGTTCTGGCTGATGGGACATGAATGATGTCTACTTAAGGGAGACAGATAGTCTCTCTTCTCCAAGTTGTTGGATCTGGAAGCTACACTTGAAGTTGTTGTATCCATCCATCTTGGTACCAGCCTGAGGACAAATACAACATTAAGGACAGCATAAAGTTGAGAAAACCTGGGCCACTGATGACATTATCCCATTATTGAAGCAGCTAATTCTGAAGCCAATTGTAATCTAGGTTTATGATGTGTGTATATATATGTATGTACTGTGGTTGAAGGGTATCCTAACTGACAACACATTTTCTAGAGTACATTATTATATGAAAGTAGGGGACTGCTTTAAATGCCATAATGAGGAAGTTAGCCTTTAAACTAGAGGTTATGTAAAGCTATATTGTATTGTTGTATGCAATCGAGTCAGTTTTGACTCATAGCAACACTTAGGAAGAATAGAACTGCCCCATGAGTTTCTTAGGCTGTAATCCTTATGAGAACATATTCCTAGATCTTTTCTCCCATGGAGTCGCTGGTAGGTTCTAACTATTAATCTTTTGATTAACCTTTAAGTGCTCAACGTTTGGTGCTCAACCTTTTGCTCCACCAGGGTTCCTTATGCAAAGCCATAGACAGGATCTAAACTGGAGATGGTTACATTTATATTTTTAGAAAGATCAAGCTGAAGCCACTTGGAGAGTGATTTGAAGTTTAAGATTTGAGATTAATTAAGAGATTGTTATAGCAATTCAGGAAAGAAATGAGAAGGTGAACCAAGACAGTGGGAGCAGGTATAGGAAGGAGTGTTCAGATTTGAGAGATATTAAAAGGCTTGATGAAAGACCAAGACAGATTGGATATGAAGAATAGGAAGGGAAGGAGAGGAAAGGATGACTCTTAGGTTTCTTATTTGGATAATGTGGCAGATCATGGAACTATTAGCAGCCATAGGGAGTTGGTATATATGTGTAGTTGGCAAAGAATACCAAAAATACCATGGACTTCCAGAAGAGCAAACAACTTTGTCCTGAAAGAAGTGCAGCTGGAAGGATCTTTAGAAACAAGAATGGTCAGACTTTGTCTCACCTACTTTGTTAATGTTGTTAGAAGGAAACAGTCCCTGGAGAACGATATCATGCTTGGTAAAGTAGAAGGTCAGTAAAAAAGGGGAAGACCCTTACAGAAATGGATCGACACCATGGCTGCAACAATTAGCTGAGGTATAGCAAGGACTGTGAGGATGGCACAGGACTGGGCAATATTTTGTTCTGTTGTACAATAGGGTCTCTATGAGTTGGAGCCAAGTCAAGGCACCTAGCAACAACATAGATGAGCTCACCTTTCACCCAAATCCCAACTCTTTTCTCCCTGTCTATATCCAATTTGGAGGTTAAAAAAGCTTAGTATTTACTTTCTTCTGGTTTCTCTTGCAGCTTGTGGTGGTCATGTGACACAGTTCCTATGAATGGAATTTATGTAGAAGTCATCTAGGAGGCTTCTAGAAAATCTTTGTTCTCTTAATGAAAGGGACAGTTGTTTCTGGCATTGCTTTCTGCTCCCCTTTTATTTCAGCCTTGAACTCAGACATGACACCTGGAACTGTAGCACATTTTGTGACTGTGAGGAAAGGCCAAGAGAATTGCAGGCCTGCCAGTCAGAACATGGTTAAACCACTGAACCAAAACTGGAAGACATACATAACAAGATTTCTTGTTATATAAGAAAATAACCCTCTTTTTGTTTAAGCCTCATAAATTCTGTCACCTGTGACTGAAGATATTCCTGACACAGGAAAGACAATAAATTCATTTTTAGACCTGCTTAGTTTTAGACCTGGTGAATAATCCAGATGCAGTGGTCCAAGAGAAGGTCGAAGAAGTATGATTGAGATTCTGAAGGGGGATTTGGGCTGTAGATTAAAGATTCAAGAGAAAATGGTGATAATTTAAGTCAGTGGTCTTTAAACTTTTACCCACAGAGCTCCTAGAAGAATTTTGAAAAAAATATGTTCCACCTTGTTCTTTTCCCTCAATACTTTATTATGAATATTTTCAAACATACAGAAAAGTTGAAAGAATTGGGCAGTGAGTACTACCTACTTGTATTCATATCTATCTATCTATCTATCT